CTAAAATTAATAAAAGTTGAAAGTACATGGAACAAAAATAAGCGTTTTAAAAGCATAGAGACCAATAGTAACTAAAATCGAAAATACAAATACCAAAATTGTATTTAAACCTACACTTTTTTAAGAAAAAATTTCATCTTAATTTATTAGTTATAATTAGTTACGAATAAACTTTTTTTTTTTGTTTTTTTTGTGGTTTTAGTACAACAGTTAGTGTAGGTGAAAATGACTCAAACTCACACGAGCTAACCTTTAAAATTTTTTAAATTAGTTTAAATTATATTTAGGTTTGTTCCTTCATTTTTTACCATCAAGCATCTTAGACTAATGGTTTGCAATTTGTAATTTATATGTAATTAATAGAAATCTTGTGTGTGGTTCTGAGTAAATTTTTTGTTTTAAATAATAGATATTAGTTATCATATCAAAACTAGAAATAAGTGATCTAAGATTTATAGGTGTCCAACACAAAATTAAAAACAATTGTTAAGATATAATTTTATGCCAAAAAATAAATAACAAAAATATGACATTTTTTAGATTCAGGATGGTCCCCAATATATATATAAATTTAGCATGTATATATTCTTTAATCTATAGTTGATCATGGCTAATTAAGCATGCATGATTTTAGAGTTCATAGAGAGTGAAATACCAAAGGTAAAATAGGGATAGAATTTATTGATTTTCATATTTTTCTTTAATAGCTCCATAATCCTTCTCATTTTTCCATAGGGTGTAAATTTATTTATGTATATTTTTCATTTAAAACTTATTAGGAAAGATTATTTAATTTATTTGCCTTTTTTTATTGCATCAACAACCCTGACCTTTCTACTTTCATTTGTCAGCAGGTTATTTGAGATCGACTCTGACATTCTGGACACCTGCAAACATAATCATGCACTGGTGTGATGCTTTGCCACGTACATTCTCAAGCTTAAGTTAGAATTTGGTTCGAACTAGTATCAAGTTGAACTTAGTTTGAATGCAAGAAATTGCATACCTTTCAGAAAGTGGAATTTCGCCTTTTATATAAGGAAGCTAGCATTAGAAATCAAAGCTTTGTTCCTACCGTAGTCATACCTATCATTCAACAACTCAGTCAATTCCATTGACAATTTGAACATCCTCTAATTAGTAGGATCGTCCTTCTACCGAATATCAACGAATTTTCCACCCGACAGAATCTTTCCTATGTCTAAATCGAGTTGAGCTTCGCTTCAAACATTACAGACCCTTCCTCCTCGTTTTTGGAGTGTCCGAGCAAAGAGCTTAAACGAGTGTCCTAGTGAGAGAGGACCACATGTTGCCTTCAATTAATTTACCCCATAGCAAAAAGAAATATATTTATTTTAATCACCTTGTTCCCTATCGTTCAAGAAAAAAGCAAAGATCGTATATCTTCGTGGCTCCAATTAATGTGCATTCATTTCATAATTGTTTTGCTACTCAACTTCCAAAGGGACAAACGACACACACGAGGGAATGTATGTTGGAATGTCATATGTTCTATAAAAGTACTAAATGACAATTTAAGAAAAAAGACAAACCCTAAAAGAACGGATAAGTAAGTAAAAAAAGGATATAAGGGCAATCATTTGTTACAAGTTCAAAAATATAATTGTGAGAGAAGGAATCTAATTATATTTAATTAAATTTAAGGTATTTATCATAGATTTAAATCTTCTCAATCTCACCTATATGATAGTACCATAATGGGGTCGGTCGGATCTAGAAACACTCTTGATTTATTTCTTTAGTCTCAATCTATTTTAGACAAGAACTTCTCGTCTAATTTGAGGTAGGGACCTCAAAGTTTTTTTTTTCGTCACGTCCAACAAAACCTCATTTGTATCTTCGTAAGAAAACTAAAAAAACTATAAAAAAAAAAGCACTTCGATTGAAAATCTTTATTAATCTAATTTGGAGTATAAATATTGGTTATTGTACGTGGGGAATATTTTTTTTATCATTGTTTAACCTTTAACGTTTTCTCTTCTTAAATAAAATTTATTATGTTAATTATTTTATAATTTATATTTGATAATTGTCCTTATAATTTTTTAACTATATTACAGAAAACAGTCGTTATAAAAAAAGAAATCCAGCTAACTAAAATATTATTAGTTTATTAGGTTTTAAGACTTTTAAGTGGAACTAAAATTTTCCACGACGACTTCACCTAATTTTTGTCGTTAATTTTTCTTCTCCAAAGATTGCAGCTGTTAGGAATTCCAGCTCTCTTTTTTATTATTATTATTATTATTATTATTATTATTATTATTATCATTATCTGGTGTTTTTACAGTAGGTAGAATATGTGGTTTCAATTTAAAAATGTTGAATAAGTAGTTTTACTTATTTATATAGGTTAAAATATACTTTTGAATTATGTACTCTCTTTGAAGTAACGATTTAGTCTATCAATTTTAGGTACGTAATAGTTTAGTTTTTTTTTTCTTTAAGTTTCTTACATATGTAGATCAATAAATTAATGAGAAACTAAATTAGTTTATAAATTACAAAGGTTAAATCGTTATATGATAATAATTTTGATAAAATTTTTCACGGTAAAGACCAAATGTTACTAACTTTAAATTATAAAGACTAAATTGTTACATACTGAAGTTTAAAAACTAAATTATTATCAATTTTTGAAAGTATACAAACTGGATTGTTACCGACTAAAGTTCATTAGACTAAATCGTTATTTTGAAAAGTACAGAGAATAAATATATTGTTTTTAAAAAATTATAAATCTAGTGTTTTTTTTTTGGTATAAACTCATTAATCGCTTTTTTTTATCAATCACTTGTTGAATTTAATAATGGTAATATGTTTATATTAAATACGATAATCATTACGTTTAAAAATTAATTTAGTAATCGATTTAAATATTAATTGTAACAATTAGATATTTTTAGAATTTGATCCACTATAATTATAATAATCACTAACTTAAGTAATTTTGCTTTTGTTATATTTGGAACTAAAAAAATATATTTTTAATATTTGCAAATATATATTTTTTCCAAAGGAATATTTGCAAATATTCTTTTGACTAAACATTTTATATTGGATTTCAAAATAATAATAATAATAATAATAATAATAATAATAATTTAACTTTTTTTTTAATATATATATATATAAGTAACATTTTTTTTGTCTCAAATGTTTGATTTACAGTGACTTCGGCCAAAGCGAGTATAGTTCAGCGGTAATTGGTATATATCTTCAATCAACAAGTTGTGAATTCGATCTTCATCCCATATATTGTACTAAAAAAAATATAGTAGGCAGACCTCAATTATAGCATAGTAAGGGTTAAATAAATATATGTAGTATCTCAAATAAATAATTTTAAATACAGTAAAAAGTACCACCATTGATGATTATAGCCAAACTATCTTTATAGTCAACATGAATATAACTCATCGATTATAATATATAACTTATTTCTTTTGAGGTCGGAAGTTATCAAATCTCATACTCCCACGTTTGTTCATTCAAAAGTCTTCAAAAGTCTTAAAATGGTTAAAAATAAACTAGTTACTATTATCCATCCAAATCAATTAGTGATCACCAACGATGACATTAGCATAACGTGAATATAGCTCAATGGGTAAAGACATATAACTTCTTTCTTTGAAGTCGGAGACTCAAATCTCCACACCTCTACTTTTGTTGTACTAAAAAAATGTGATTTTATCTACTCATCAACAATAGCATAACTCAACAAATAATGACATCTACTCTTTCTCTCGAGGGTGGAGGTTCAAATCTTCATCCTCCATATTTGTTGTACTAAAAAAAATTAATTGGTGACCAATAATAATATGAATAAACAAATAAATAAATATATAATTACTTTTTAAAAATACTGTCATTGCAACCACTTTTATATATATATATATATTAGCACGATACACATTAATGTTTAAATTTTACGTTGCTATTTAACTCAGGTTTTGTCAACTTGAGTATGAGTCAATTTATTGGAGTCTAGTAACATATTATAAAAAGTGTTGGATGTTTGAATCTCTACCTTCGACTTAAAAAAAAAAAAGAAGTCAAAACGAACATAGTTCAACAGTAATTGACATATATCTCAAATCAAAAGGTTGTGAGTTCGATTCTCACCTCTACATGTTGTACTAAAAAAATGAAGGGCCTTCAATATATAGAGAATACACGTAACTCATTTTAGCCATGCACATACTCGAGGAAGATCATAAAATCATTCAATATGATTATCTCCTCATAGGTTGAATATTAAATAAAATTTATACCATTTATTTGGTAATTCTACTTTAATTATATTATAAATCTAGTCTCTCGATATTAAGGTTACCTATATAGTTCTTACCGTTAAAAATCAAAATTTAATAAATCTCTAAACTAATTTTTAATAAATTCCTAAAATTTTAAGGACGGCGTCTATTTAATCTTTATAAAAAAAGCTTAATATAGATATCTACCTAACTCTCAATCTCTAAACTAATTTTTAATAAATTCTTAAATTTTTAAGGACGGTGTCTATTTAATCTTTATAGAAAAAAAAAGTTTAATATAGATATCTACCTACTCTCAAACTTTTATCGCTAAAGTAAGTATATGGTTCAGTGATAATTAACATATATTTCCAACGCATTCAACCAGCAGGTAAAGAAGCCAAAACGAGCATATAGGTGGTGATGACTCACTCGAATTCCATCGAGTTAAGGCCAAGGTGAGCTCCACCACTCCTACGTGGCCGAAGTGTCTTCTTTTGGTGGGAATTCGAAATGATGATGATTAGGTCGGATATAAGCTATGTTCGGATGGGTTATATACACAACAGCAAAATTTGAGACCTTTTCAACAAGTAATAATTGGGAAATCATTCTAATATGCCTTAAACATCCGAAGTCAACTCCCATTATACAACTCCCTATAAATATCTCTCAATTCACCCATCAATCTCCCAACATCCAAACAAACACAGCCCCTTCCTTCTCCTTTCATTCCATGGAGCAGCTCACAGGCGCCATTGCAGAGGGAGAATGGAGCTCTCTCAGTGGAACCTGCACAGCTGAGGAAGCAGCTTTCATGGCTCAACTTCTCAATCCTCCTCCTCCTCCTTTAATCGCTGCCCATCACCATGAATCTGCTTCCTATTGTTCTCCAAGCTTCTACAGGCTTTCTCAAGAGAGCAGTGAGTTCAGTGGTGGAAGCCAGAGCCAGTGCAGCCATTTATTGTTCCCCACTGAGAATAATTGCTACATTGGAGACTTTGGAAACAATGGCGGCTTCCATCTTGAAGATGAGGACTGTAACTTGCAGGGCTATTGTGAACCTGAGTTGACAAACTTAGAAGCTGCCATGGAAGAGGAGGAGCACAACCAGCTTCAGCTTGAGAATTCCAAGAAAAGATCTTGGGGATCTGGGGAAGTAAGTAATGATTTGATTATTCGGTTTAAGATTTTGAGTTCGGTCGTAATTTGATACGAGTAAATATAAAACGAAGAGCTATTTTGTTAAGGATCCCGTCTAAAAAGATAAAAGATCTGATAAAGATTTATGATATATTTTGACTATTGCTCTCCTTACCAATTAGTTTTTAGATTGGATTAGACAATCATCAAGTTCAAAAATAGAATCTATCCAGATAAATGAGTCCAAATGAGCCACCATTTTTAGAGGCAGGTTGTATCCTACACTAAAAATATAAAAAACCTAACAAATGTTTATTATATACCTGAGTTGGTTACTCCTCTATTTACAAATTTATTTTGATACGAAACTTCACCACTCTTAATATACTTAATTAATTTAGACCTTTTACATACTATGTTATTCACTTAATTGTTCTTTAATTGATAGTCTATTTTCTAGCTCGTACATCGAGACTCCAATTAAAATATTTTTCAATCTAGCAATGATCTTATGAAACTATAGGAAAGCGAGATATCGAGTTCAGATCTTTGTAATGTTATTTTCTCTCCATTTTTAGGCAATGGTCAAGTTCTTAGACTATGTATCAGCTCACTTATGAAATAGACTATTTAAAATATATTGAAATTAAAAATTAAATTCATTATACTTCTTTTGAAGTGTAGGTACAAAAGAGGAGGAATGAGAGGTCAAAGAAAACTCAGAAGCTTACCTCAAACAGTAACTCTGAAGATGGCAATGCTGGCCCTAGCAGGCAAAGCACAAGCAACTATTGCTCGGAAGACGAATCCAACGCCTCTCAGGAGCCAAACGGAGGTGCTAACAACTCGAGATCGAGTCCGAAAGGGCCGACCAAGTCCCGAGCCAGCAGAGGCTCTGCTACAGATCCACAGAGCCTCTATGCAAGGGTAAGACACAATGAAACCTTAAAAACTTTCATGGGAAAAGTGAAAAAAAAAGCCATTCATTTCTTATGTTGTTTATTACAGAAAAGAAGAGAAAGAATCAATGAGAGGTTGAAAATCTTACAGAGCCTTGTCCCAAATGGAACAAAAGTGAGTAAGACCAATGAAACCTTAAAAAATGTTAAAACTTGATGATTTTTGTGGGAAAAAATGTCTTGAATTTTGCATCTTTTTTTGGATATGCACAGGTTGATATCAGCACAATGCTTGAGGAAGCCGTTCAATATGTCAAATTTCTACGACTCCAAATCAAGGTCATTACGAAGAAAAACTCAAATATTATAGATTATGGTAAATTTAATTTTTGTTAGAAAAATATATATTCTTAAGGCTCTTCTTCTCCCTGGGTTTGAAATTAGCACAAGACCCAACAAATGGCTATAAATATAAGTTGGAGAGGAAATGACGATGGAATCTCAAACTAAAAAATTTAAGCTTATAAATTACAGTATATTTAGTCTCTTTTATTTATATCTTAATTAAACATTGTGTTAAAATATCGTTATTGCAGCTATTAAGCTCCGACGATTTATGGATGTATGCTCCGATCGCTTATAACGGAATGGATCTCCGACTTAACCCGACCCCGATCACACCAAAAGAATCATGAAGCAGAGGATGGGGGTATTGTGCAGTTTGAGCACAAGTGTAATCTTTTTGGGGGAATAATGTGTTTTTACCTCTAATAACAACTCTTGTCTCATTTTTCTCTCATTTTTTCAAATCATACAAGCAAATATGACAGATTATTTTGCTCATGAATAATGGGCCAGATGAGCTTTGATAGAGTGAATCTTAAATTGTTGGAGATTCACCCATTTTGGCTGTTCATTCCTTGGTAATATCTCAATATATAAACAAATTTTAGTCCACTAAACACCTTTTCTAGAGTCACAACATCACCAATCTCATTCAACAACGTTAGGAGAGACTTCTCAATTAGTGGAAAGATCTTATTAATTATGGCACCCCTATTTAGAATTGAAAGGGAAATAATTTTCTCCAAAGTTGTCTTATCTCCACCACGACAGGTAAGAAATGATTAGGCAAATTCCTCAAATCACATGCTGGTCACAGGATGATAGCCTCCACAGTTCTAAAACGGTGTTCTAGCCGATCGTCGCCACACCTCCACCATCCCCCACCTTTTGCTCTATCATTCTTGCCTCTGGACTATGAAAGTTCTCTAAACCAACATGTAACGAAGATAAATAATCATCCTAAGAAATCACAACGATGCCCTATCAAAGTCATCTAAGTAAAATTATTACTAAATACATTCAGTACTTTTTCTCCTTGCCCAAATTAGTCCCCCTAAAGTCCCGATCAAATTGATACTCTTTTTATAAAATTTTATCTCTCAGTCTGTCAATCCTTACGATATCTGGATCTGGTAAGTTTCCCACTAGCACCTTATGAGAAATCAAAGTTTTTGGATTTCGGAGGGGTATGGTCGCACTCAAAACATGATTTCTAGTTCTCTTGGGAATAGTTCATTTTGCCTTTAATGCCTTTGTCTTGTATCCAAAGTATTAAATTTCCGTCAGCCTATCGACATTTTCATATGACTACGAGTTCGACATTAATACGAGGAGTAAATCGAAATTTTCGAATTGAAAAAATATGAAAAATATCATCAAAATATTAATTAATCTTTTCAAACTTATTTAAAATTTGTGAAATACTTATTTGTTAATTTAAATATTTATTACCAAATTTTTTATTTTTTAATATTTTCAGAAATATCTATCGACATCAACATTCCTATAAACTTGAGACATCAACATTCTCATCCACATCAACATTTAAAACTATGTCAATTACCGTTGAGCTATGCTCACTTTTTTAGTACTTAATAATTATAATAACAAATCATTATAATTTAATTATACTAATTCCATGTGTTATAGAAACTTATAATTTAATCCTTAAACTTGGATTATAGAGAAACTCTATTTAATTTTCATTTCGGAAGAAATTCATTTGGTCACATCAACTTCTTAATGTCAAACAACAAAAACTTGTCAATATCGAGTTTGAGTACATATTATATGAATTGTAAAGGCAAATAATGTCAAACTTTATAATGTCAAATTTTAAGAGTTTTTATTCTTTTAAACATTTTGATACTAAATTCTCTATAAAATTGGTTGACTATTAAATATGTATAAATAAAATTTGTTACCATTTGACATTTGGAAAGGTCAAATATGCCAAAATATTTCTTGAATTTTATTTTATATTTTTTTTTCAGGAAGTACATAAAATTGATTATATTGTTTAAATTTCATGTCAACTCTTTAGTGCACCAATGAAGATGGATTATTCTTCAATCTAGGATAACACTCTCTTTTATTAACAAAATTCTAACATTCAAACATTCCCCCTCCTAAAAGAACAAATAAGTCAAAATTATAAATTTAATTTGATTCTTTTTTTTAATACTTTCATCTTAGATATTTTCTTGTTTTTCTTAATAAAAATTACATTAATAAAATAAGGAAAAAGAGAATTTAAACTACAACCATAATTAAGAAAGCACTAATATGGTCTGACCATTCAAAAATATATACACACTCAAAAGAGTTATTATAATAATATAATTTCTAAATTTTTATGCATTTTCAACTTTAATTAGATAAGATATGAGAACTCAAGATTTATCTAGTATTTCATCAAGAATATTGAGAGATAAATGTATAATATAGTTCTTAGCACACCTCTTCCCTATTTGTTATTCTCCCTATTTTCTAAAATAATTGGTCGTTTAAAATCTAATAAGTCAACCCGAATATAACTTAACTAATTAAGGAATATGCTCATACTAAAAGGTCATGATTTCGAATCTCCATTTATGTTGTACTCCTAAAAAAATCTAATAAAATTGGAAAGCATAACATTTTAATATTCATGAAGAAAAATGGAACAAATGACTTTTGAAAAAATAAATATTTTTTTAAATAAACAAAATTTTTAAGTACTTTTGGAATAATTACTAATTTAAAGTGTATTTAGTATAATTTACTAAGGGGTTTTAGATAACTAAAAGTTCTTTTGAAAAAATCAATAGTATTTGATAATAAATAAAAAATATCTTACAAAACTTAGATCACTCCAAAAAAAAATTCTTTTTAAAGCAACACCGGGGAGATTATTATCCAAAAAGTGACTTACTAAATAGTTCAAGGACTAAATTGTTACTTTAACGAAAGTACGGAGACTAAAAGCATTTTTTTACCTAAAAAGTAATATTGTGATGTACTTTACCTTATAAATGGTATATCAGTAACATATTTTATATTTTATAAGATTCTCATTCCTACTAATTAATTACTTTATACGACAAATTTACAAATATGATAACTAATTTTTGTCACCCTTTACCAAAATCAACTTGTAAATTCTAATCTATTTAGGACGACGGTAGGTCATACAAATATGATAACCAATTTTTGTCACCCTTTGCCAAAATCAACTTGTAAATTCTAATCTATTTATGACCACGGTAGGTCATACAAATATGTTAACATAAATATAGGTCAAATCCTCTTATCCGCAAACAATATGTTAACATAAATATAACTCAACTGTAAAGATATATAACTTCTGCCCTCGAAAGTGCAAATCCCCAACTTTTACTGAAGAAAAAAAAGTAACATTCTCGAAAGGAAAAAAAAATGGAAAGTTTACAATTCAGCCCTTTGACATTTAGTGCTACACAAATAACAGTCTTATTTTAAGTTACATAACCATGTATTTAACCACCTCACCAACAAAGCATAATGCTTTGTAGCCCATCCCAAGGCATAATAAGTTAATCACATGAGTCCTCTCCCAAATAAAAATCCAACAGAGAACTCTTCAACCATGTTATAGTCTAACAATAACTTTGTCAAATTCAAAAACCCACCCTTTTCGTTTATTGTCAATATATTACAAGAATGCAAAGATCTTAACCTCAAAACTCTTCACTGGATCCACTCCACACTCCGCTCGCTGCACATAATCATCGACGGGTTTCTAAAGCATCATCTTCCTTCTCATGCACGGTTTTCATTCACATAGTTCGGACCCTCGCCTTGGCTGTCGAGAGGCATGTACTGAGCCATAATAGCTCTGATTTCGGAATCCATGTATGACTGCAGAAGCAAAACATCCCAATAGTTATCAAGTTGTGATAACATGGATTGTAGAATGCTACCATCAGGATTCAAGGTAATAAAATGATATATCAATGAGCTTACCCTTAATCTGTACTTGTATACTAGATATGCTCCACCAGCAGCCATAACCAAGCCTATCAAAATAACCCAAACAGCAGTCCAGGCAGATCTCCCACTTGACGATGCCTTGCCTGAAAATGGAGATGGAACGTTAGTGAAGCCATTACATCCTTCAAGATGCTGTAACTCTCACTAATTTGTAAGCCCATGGAACTAATAATACTTGTTTTCAGTTCTCGTACCCGCTACTAGAAGTGCTAATTCCAAATCTTTTGGTACTTAAAGTGTGACGCCCATGGAACTAATAATACTTGTTTTCAGTTCTCGTACCCGCTACTAGAAGTGCTAATTCCAAATCTTTTGGTACTTAAAGTGTGACATGCTTTTTAAAGTGCTCATGGGCTAAAAAAGTGCCTTGGTAAAAACTGGTAGTGTATAAAAAGTTCTTTTTTAACCAATTAAAAGAACTTAAAATTTTCAATTATCAAACAACCTTACTTGAATAGATCGAACAGAATCTATTCTACAGGTTGTACATCTATACTCTTGAGTTACAAAAAAAAGCTTTTGATAATCAGAGAAATCCTAGAAACAGATAAAACGCACTTCAAGTGTTTTTAAAATAACTTGATCAATTTTCTTCCAGAAGTGCTTAAAGAAAAATTCTTTCGCATAAACCGCACTTTATTTTCAAAAGGCGAAACACTATTTTCAAAATGCATCCCAAACTCAACAATTGCCTGCAATTGAAGAGCAGTTCTGTAGCTCTGGGACTAGGTTTTTTTTTCTATTGGGAAAAAAAAAAGCTCAACTGAAATATAACCACACAGCTAATTACACATGAGATGCTTACTTATACAAGTATCATGGTCTCTGATATACAAAAGATCACCACTGCAACTGCACTCATAGCTGCCCCATGTATTTTTGCAGTTGCATTCAGGGCACTGACAGGCTTTCTTCTCTTTGCACTCGTCGATATCTGTATGACACAAAATCAGATGAGTAAAAATTACACAACTATATTAGATGCCTGTAACAGAAGAGATGCCCCTAGTGTAACTTTGATAATATTTATATTCCAATTTAACCTCAATGTATAATAGCAGTCAGTAGTGAGTATATCATCATATTCAATGTAGAACCACCAGCTATTCACAAAAATATGATAACACTAACAATAGTTTACAATTATAACACACCTTTTGGTTGTCAATATCAGAGAAAACAAAGAATTAAAAAGAAATGGTTGCTTAATATAAAACCATTTGGCTCGCATGAATGAATAATTGTCATACTATTCACGTGTCTAAAAGTAGAAGAAGGCGGGGCATTAGTTCTGAACTACTGAGGATTGAGAAGGCAGATGGGAGATATTGGGCGCTGGGTTATTCTGGACAGTTTTTGGTTAAATCTTTAGTTAAGCTTATGACAGATTCAGATGGTGTTTTGGAGAGGTA